CACATCTCCTTCTAGTGGAACAGACAGACAGACAGACACACAGACAGACACGAGGTCGTTTGCATAAGCCCGCTAGATAGCTTTTTCAAAGCAGAAGGGCGGGCTAAAAAATCACAAGCGCAATTTTCAGTTTGTATTGTTCCTCAGACAGTCTTAAAACTCGTTAAAACTGGACTTTTTGGCATTCCTAATTTAAAGAATACTGACCTCTAGCTCCGAAACGTTTTAAGAGAAGGCTATTCCAAGGACTGATTTTGATCAGGATGTGCTGTTTTGGGTGGTTCTTCCTCATTCATTTTTCGATTTGAGGCCTCCTTGTACGTCCTTATGTGCAACGTGGTACGATTTTTTTTAGCCCGCCCTTCTGCTTTGAAAAAGCTATCCAGCGGGCTTATGCAAACGACCTCGTGTCTGTCTGTGTGTCTGTCTGTCTGTTTCACTAGAAGGAGATGTGCTAGAGACTTCAAATTGTCAGGGTATCTTAAGGTCTACTATTAGAGAACGAAACGCCTACGGCAAATCCTGGCAACCACCCAAGGGTGTGAATGGAGGTATCCAAGGTTAAAAATTCCCCCTGAAAAGTAAAATAAATTTGTTTGTTTTCGAAAAAGTGCCCCAAAAATAAATATATAAATTTTAGAAAATACTAGATGGTCTCCTACGGGGTAACTCGTCAAAGTAGAGCCCTCTTGGCGAAAATTTCGTCCGTTTTGCTTTTGCTCTATCTCTAACCGTTTAGGCGCTAGAGGGTCTTTTTTGACGAAAATAAGCTAAAAATTGCTATAGTGAACAATAAGTTGTAGGAAAAGGCCTAAAAACCGCAAAATAGGAAAGAAACTCTCCCCCCACCCCCAAAAAACGTTTTCTAAGCAGAAGGGTGGGTTGTAGTCGCGGTGCTTCACCGTTACATCCCTTTCTCGTGTCTACGGGGCCCGCTACAACATTTGATTATTCTCTAGCAAATCGCGTGACAAAAATGGTCGGGCCGCAGGCCCAACCATCACCGTCGGCAGGCCAAGCAGGCCAGGCCCCTGCCGAACGGAGTTGCCGGCGGAGCGAAGCGGTGGCAACTTTCTTTAGGCGGAAGGGCGGGCCTGCTTGTTATGTACAGCGTGGTCATTTTCGGGATATTTTCGACGAAAAAGCACCTCCAGCGACGAAACGGTGAGAGATGGAGATAAACGGACAGAATTTCAGGTCACAGGGATCACAGGGATCTACTTACGCAAGTTACCCCTTAGGAGGTCTTAAAAACGTTAACAATTAATTGTAAAAAAACGGGCGTAATTTTATCTGTCAAGTAGTGGGTAAATTACACCCCGTGGCCTTGAAAACTATGTTGCCAATCAACGGACTGGGAAATCTTTACTCTCCACTCCACCCGCTCGGTAAAGTTATTTGCACAATAACTGTTAAAATTCACGTATGTTCAGAGAAAATTACTTTTTGAACTTTTTTTGGTAGTTTACGTATCCACATGGCAATTTAAAATCCACATGGTAAATTTACATTTCATATGATGTCGAAAATTGCTGGGTGCTTCGGGAGATGCCAGTTACACATCCAAATGGTAATTTTAGGAAGCACTGGATTGGTGTTTACATGCCATAAGATTCCTGACACGCGACAGACTATCGAATGCAAGAGCGAGTCGTGGGTCTTAGATGAAAGTCCGTGTCGTCCATTTAGTCACCGTTGATAGCAAAGACAATCTATAGAGGTAAACAGACCTCGTTCCTTTGAGAAGACATCATCTATCGGCGCGTCACCTCCCAGAGGTAGCCGATGGGTGAGGGGTAGCGTGCGCGCTCCCGAGCTCGGAGGTTACGGGTTCTACTCCCATCAGGTCTAACAGATATTTCGGTATATCGGCAGGCACCAGCCGCTCTTAGCAGTTGAGAGGGGAACGCCAACAGGTTGGGAACCTGCATATCGTCACTTTTTTCTTCTTACTAACTGATCTTCTACTTTTGCACGTGCAAATTTACCATGTGGATAGGGACATGCGGTCTTACCTATCCACAATTTAAATTACCACTTGGATACGCAAACGTCTAGCATTTATACAAATGAAAGATTACCATGTGGATAAGCAAAACATTTTCCCCTATCCATGTGCATGGAAATGTCCCATGCTATGGATAGCGAAATTAGTCAGTAATTGGACCTGGAAATTTACTCATTGCGGTCGGGGAAAGGGGCGTTTACTCATCCACCTGCGCAATTTTGCCCTGAAAATTTCTTTTTGTTAACCATAAACGGACCCGTAGTTAAGAAAATGTTCTATTCTACAGTTTCGAGCAATATTTTATGAATAAAAGAAAAATGACAAGGCTGTTTTTGTTTATATATTATTGTTGTTGTGACGTAGAATTTATGAACATATTACTGCACGTAGGTTTGTGAGAAAATGCGCTATATATATGAGAGCTCTGCAGTGAGCGGGCATGCGAAAGCGGGCGTCCGAAGGCGATAGTGCGAGTGAGAAGCTCGCGCGGTGCCATAGCTCCCTGTCACTCCAATCCGCTTTCGGACGTCATGTAGGTATCCGATGCCTGCTCGCTGTATTGTTCTTGTCCTTAATGTATCTTTTTGCGTGATATTTTTGTGAATTAGCCTATTAATCATTACTTTTATAATTGAACACAATTTTTGGCGTGGGCGCTGGGCAGAGCCCGCGTGGAGCGGACTACTGAGAGCAAAGAGTTCATTGTTGGGCTGTTACCCAGACGCGGCTCAAAATGCAACAGGTGGTGTTGAACGATCTCCCGCCTCCCCCCCTGCGCCGCGGTGTCTGGTAGAAACGGGTCCGTTTAAAAAATTCTGACTAGTTTGACCTGCTCCCCTTTTCTGGCCTGCTCTTTTGCTTTTAAAAGCGGGCTTATGCCATCGCCCTTGTCTGTCCGTTTCCCAAGAAGGACGTGAGGTAGAGGTGTGAACTTTTCAGGATAAGGTTGATGTCACTTCCAGAAAACGAAACGGTTGGTGCAAATCCTGGCAATAACCACCCCTGAGTGGGCCTGAGGGGATAAAAAGGAGTACAGGAAGTAGAATTTTTTTATAACAGTGTTCTAAGGGGAAAGTCGCGCAAGTTTAACCGAAAATTTCGTGGAAACAAACTTTGTATTTTTTTCTGCAAAGAGAGTCAATCCAAAAGTCGGACGACTGGAAATCGATTCAACCAATTTTGCCTGTTTCTGATATCGATTAGAAACATCAGAGATGAAGCAAAAAACATCGATCCTTACCTGCCAGGTTTGCGGCAGCACCAGCCAGGCCAGCCCGGGCAGCAGGATCCATGAGACGGTCCAGAAGGCACCCACAATTAGCGAGTAGGTTGCGCGGACACGGGCCGGGACGAACTCACTCATGTTCAGGAAAGTGAGGGCGGAGGGACTTCCGATACTGCGCAAGACAGAAAAGCACGAACTTAGACATGTCGTACGCATTGAACTATGCGTAAGGCGCAACTACACGTCTGGATGTCTTCTAGCAACTGGAATAACGGAGAAAAGAGTGAAAGAACCGGGAAGTAGAAACGTCAACAAGTCTTGTTAACTGTGAAATGAACACACGGTTGAGGGAATTTAGTCGCTTTAGGTGTAACAGGAACGTGAAAGGGGCGTAAAGAATTCCTTTAATAGTTTATGTGTCTTTTTGCGTGGGGTCTTTGTGCATAATGGATATATACTGTATACTATTTTTCGCGTGGGTGGCTCGCGCACTTTGGAGCTTGTGGAGTGGACTACTCAGAGCGCAAGGTTTTCATTGTTGGGCTGTTCTTTATAAAAAGTTACAAAGCCCTGCCCTACTAAATATCAACGGGCAATCGGTTAATCCATATTGGTAATTTAGCTTATCGATGAATAGTAACAGATTCTGCTGTCGCTCAGCCAATAATCTTAGCTGTGACATTTTTACATAGTGATCTAAAAAGCACTTCTTCGTTCGTCAAATGGGCTGCACCCCAGCTTGAGTCTCAGATGCGGTCGTGGCGCTTACTTACAGAAAGCCGCTCAGACAGCGGAAGAAGGCGAAAGCGGCGTAGCTCTGAACAAAAGTTGAACACAGCGTGCTGGCTGCATCCGCTAGCAGAGCGAACACGATGACTGGCCTCCTGCCCAAGACGTCACCCAAGACACCCCAGACGTACGAGCTCGCCATGCCACCTGCAAATACATGAGTGTTTAAACAATGAACGAAATAAGTGTGTATCCTGTTCTACTACAATGCATCATAGTTGTACTTTAATTTTGCGGCATTTAACGTCTGCAAGCCACTCAAAAATCTGAGTTATGGACCAATTACAATGTACTTGATAATTGAATTTTCAGGTATATTTCATTTGAATCATAAACATGCACTTGCAAAATTGAGGATCAATTTCACGGTTAAAATATTGTCTTATTTTTGGAAGGTAAAGGGAAAACATTGGGGAACTCCCCTGGTTTGACAAAAACTCCTCAGATTTCGAGGAAGTCTCCTCAAAGACTGTGGTATTTTTCCCCAGGTTTTGAAAGTATTTCCTAAAATCTGAGGCGAGATTGGAGGACGATTCCTCAAACGTGGAAGTTCCTCAAAGTTTTCCCATTTTCTTCAAGAAATAAGACATTGTTTTACCGTGTACGATGTACTTCGTCTAAGAACCAAGTTTTCTCAAAATTTCTTGGAAACACTGTGAAGACGACACTCTGTTTATTGCTTTCCTCTTTTAAGGCACCCTCAGGTCGGCCTTCTTTGAAAAATTAAGAAAGCGGGCTTTACGCAATCGATCTCGTGTCTTGCCTGTTACTCTGCCTGTTGGTCTACCTGCTCGTTTGGGCCACAAAAAGATGGGGTAGAGGCGAAGGTTGTCGGACATACGTACCAGCCATAAAGAAGGCATTAATCGCGCCCATCTGAGCTGACGTAAGGTCGAAGTCGCACCTTGCCGCAGGCAAGATGTAGGCGCTAATACCCCACTGCAGCCCGCAAGTAAGGTAGGTGAGGCCAGCCGTGCACATAACACCAAAGCTGAAGAAACCAATGCCTTTACGAAAAAAAAGATTGAAAGGTGTTACAGTAAGTGGTCGTCCAACGGCAGCTGTACTCTTGACTGACACAAGGAGTAGTAGCGTGCTAGGCTGAGCCTGATTTCTTGTTTTAAGTCCTATTTGTTCCTAACCCAGTCAACAAAACATAGTCCCGAACACATCCCTGGAACAACCCGGTTGGGATGTGGGACGTCCCAGCCAGGACGTCCCACAGTACCACAGAATGCAACATTTTTTAGACCCTGAGCAGAAGATAAGCACCTCCCACCAGTACGTCCTGAGTGGGAGGTGGTCACATCCCGGAGGGACCGTCCCCGGAAGGAACTTTCAGGACCTGACCATCATTTTATTTAAAACAATATGGCAATATTAAAACGTCAAGTGAGGTTCGATGAGTTCCTTATTTGAGCCTGCATATTATATCCAGAAGCAGGTCCCGAAAACTCGGTCAAGGTTGACAGAGTTTAAAAAAATTATTTATGACAGTCATGTGATGTATCACTTGACCACAATTACACCTCACACTTGGCGAGGGGTCTATAAGAGAGGTATGCGGATGATCCGCGAGATTTAAATTAGACATCACATAAAATCTGAATTAAGCATGCAAGTGAACATTGGTAGTGCAATTCGACTTCATGCCCCTTGCTTTATACGCGAATAACGCAACTTTTCAAAATACTTATTATTTAGTACATTTTAACGCAAACATGATAAAACCTTCGAGGATCGCGTCGCTAGCGCTATCTGTCAGCAAAATATAGCACGGCACACGGCTGCCACTGGCACTGGCATACCAAAGACCTCCCGCAGCAGATGTATATAGGATGTTCATCATCCTGCTAGTCTCCCTAACCATGATATCCCGTGCAGGTTCTATGTAGTATGTCCTGGTGACATTCATACTGGTACATCCGTAGCAAATGCATACGTAACGTCTTTTCCAAAGACATGCTGGTCAGCACCCTGACTGAACGCCCCGAGGAGCAGCCCGACGGTTGCCCCTGAGGAGGTACTCGTATGTTACGTCCTGCCTGATGACATGCTGAATAGTTCCTCGGCGGGACACCCCAAGGAGCTTTACCGCAGGTATATCCTGAGGAGTAACTTCTCAGTACCTTAACTCAGAAGTACCTCCCAATCAGATCCCGGCCAAGATGTCCATGTGGTCGTGCTGCACAACACATCCTGATTTGCTCCAAGGCATGTATTTTTGGGATGTCCCAGTAGCACGTGTAAGGGATTCGTGTGGGATGATCCCAAACTCCTCCCAAAGGTAAGTGGGAGCTGCTTTGTTGACTGGGAAATCATCCAAAATTTTCGTTAGCAACTTTTCTAGCGTTAAGATTGCTTCGCACGAGAAGTTTCAAAAAGCAGTTCCAAATGGTTCAAAATGACAATTTTTGAAACTCTTTCAAAAACTTGTCAGTAAAATAAAATAAAAAGTAGGGGGAGGGATAAAACAATCCGATAAATAGTATTTTGACCAACCTCGGGGTTGGTCGGGAAAAAAACCCGTTCGATTTGGTGTGGATGCGTTTGCGTTTGCGACAATCACGTTTCTTAAGAAATCGCATAGTGGCGCGTGAAACATGTTTATAGTCTACGCATAAATTTTCCAGTCGCCGAGTGTCGGTATGATTTCGATGTGAGCTATAGCTAGAAACTAGTTTCTCTCACCTGCGGCGTCCACGGCAGCCTCACAGTCAGAAGCCTCATTCTCGTCACCAGCGCCCTCAGCTTTCGGAGCCGGGTCAAGGTGCTTGCTTCCTCCTTGCGCCGTGCAGTGCGCACAATGCGCTTCCTGGTCTGCGCACGGTCGGGGAGCATTATCGTCTGTAAATTGCACACGACGCTAAACAAAAACATGTACTCATAGTGTAATGCATGTATTAATTTCAGACGAACACCTTCTTCACAAGTATACGTCCATATAGTACAGCATGCACAAAGAATTAGGATTTAATTTGCGCAAATGTAATCACAAAACCAATGAATGTGACAACATCTCGTTGAAAGCTTAAGTGAGGAAACCAGAGGACACGTGGGGCTCTGGGAATGGGAACACCGGCCTGGAATTCATGTCAGGGTTAAGGTTCAAAGAGGAACTGGATATATTACGAATAAGAAAAACGAGGACTATCGTCTGCTCTAAGACTATCACACAGCCTCGACCACTCAAGACAATTGACCTCGGCCTCACGTAGGCTGAGTCCTTGTCATGGTACATAGAACCACATGCTATCCTTTCAGTTCTTTAGATCCGGAAAGAACCTCGCTGTGAGGAACGCTACGGGTATCTACGGGAATCAGGGGAAACGTCGAGAGCCGAGGGGTGGGTAACTTCTGAATTGGGTGTACAAATTTCAAGAATTAAATTTGAATTAGCTTGGCTTGAATTGAATTTGAATTGGACTGAATTGGTTGAATTGGATTTGAATTGGTTGGAATTATTGCGATTTTATGATACTGAATTAGCGTAAATTGGCTAGAATTGGCTTGAATTGACTTGATTTGAATGTACATTGTCTTGAATTGGGCTGAATTAGTTGAATTGGGCAGAATTAGGGGTGTACACTTGGCAGGGGAGTTATCCACCCTCGAGAGCAGCTAAATCACCCCAATCAGGGGACATCACTGGAAATCATGACAAATGTTAGGAAACGCGTTTTTAAGAAATTTAACAAGCACGTGAATGGATGACCCTGAATGGATCCCCAATATTTCAAGTGATTCAAGGGAAAGCGCGGATGATCAAGATTAACGTTAACTGGCTCAGGAGCAAAATGGTCTCAATCGAATGAAGAGCATTTTGATTTTGGCTAGGTAAATAGAAGTGTATACGGCAATTTATCATTTATATTTGATCACAGGCAGTCGTGGGGTGCCTAACTGAGGTAATCAATCAGGTGTACTATCAGTCTGAAAAGTTTTGCCCCTAGCTGCTAATAACAAAGTTCTGAACTAGCCTCGCACCGGGCTCTAGGCTGTGTGCCTTGCCGGCGACCGGCACCCAAGATGGCGACCCTGTCCACCTCGGATTTTCAACAACACATTTCAACAATAAAAAGTCGTGTTTGTATGGGTGGCGGGTGAAAATAAGCAATAAATTATCGGTAGAAGCCTATAAAAACAGTTTTCTACATCGAGAGCTTTCTCGTTGGAAACGGATATAAAACTGGACGGGGTTAGTCGGCCAGCTAGAAGAGCAATTGGCGCCATCGTCGCGATTTCTCATACCGCGCGAAATTTAAACCGAATCGGTTCCCTCCATCGGACACTATATATGGTATACATGATTTCTTACTATACTTGAAATACTATTCGAAGGACCCCGCCTTCATTTACTGATACAAAGACAAAAATAGTTTTGTTTATCAAATTTATTTTTACTATAATTGAGTGTTGGCGTATAGACCTTTTATCCAAACGATGTGGCAACGCCGCACGCTTATAGTTTCCAGCGACAAACGTTTAATTGTGATCAAAACTCAAAATTCTGGCCACGCCCGGGCGGAAGGATCACAAGTTAAAGTATTGTCTAAACTGCAGTGGTCGAACTGCACTCACAAAAACGCAGTTAGATCGTGGTCCATCGCCACTCTGAGAATCTAAATTATTTCCATTATTGAGTGCTTTTCTGAAATGCAGACACTCCGTACTAGTTTTGTATGCAGACCTGTACACACGTAAATAGTTACGGACTACAGTTGCGACTCCAGTTGAGACTTCATTTTGACAATGGTGTATCAATGGTCGTCAATTTATGTGCAATCTGAAAACGTAAACTGTGTCATTAGATACTTTTCACACATTGGCAACTGTAGTCGTAAACTGCATCTGTCAGAGGACATTCCTTCCACAGAGCAAACTAGGCCACTTAGCTGATCCATAGTGAAAATGCAGTTCAACTGTAGTTTGACTAGAGAGACCGACGGACCGGGGCCCTTTCGCACAACATCAAGCTACTGCGCCACGAGAGGTAAGGTGTCGCAGTAGGTTGGTGGTCAGCGTAACGGACTTCCAGCGTCGAGGTCCAAGGTTCAACTCCCGTCAGCTTCAGTTCCGAGATCGTCATTCGGTAAGGTAAGTCAAGGTAAAATAACAGGCAATTGCAATTACGAACAGAGATAGGCACGAAGAAAGGAGAGAGAAAGAGAAAAATCCTTTTGGCAAGAAATTTGTTAACTGTATTTCAACTGTAGATGAAACATTAGATTATAGGATATCATTTTAGTATCAGCTGAGGTCACTGATTGCAGTGGTGACGGCAGTCAAACTACAGTTGGAAAGCCGCCCGTCCCAAATCTTCATAGTTTATCTATACATTTTGTGCAGTTTAACTACAGAAATGTGCACTTTAACTACACATTTCTACAGATGAACTGCAACTGATCTACAAGTGCGAAATTACACTTAAACTATAAGTATTCTGCAGTCAGCCAGTGTAACTACAGGTACTTATCAACTTTGGTTGAACCACATTACACCTAGAAACATAATGGAGTTGACACTCAGTCATGGTTGCTTCCACAAGTGCATAACAAACTCGTGATCTTTCCGCTCGGGCGGTGTTTGATTCTTGTAACTACTCCGCATCAAACACCGTGGCCAGAATTTTGAATTTTGATCACAGTGAAGAGGTTGTCGCTGGACAAAAATAGCAGTATTTGGGCGACTGTACGAATAACCGCTTTGGATAAAACGTCTAAGTGCCCTTTTATTGCTAGTGTCAGCTGCAAAACTACCCTACAACAACCCAACTAGACCCGTCGTGCACGAATAGAAACCCACTTCTTATCAGAAGTTCTCCTGCGCAAATGTAGGCTGGTTTATGCAACAAAAACTACACCCTCACGCTGTTGTCAAAGTCAGCCATTATTATTCATGTCAACCCAGCCTACACATATTCGAGCAAGTGTTGGCACAAGGTCAAATGTCTCTGTGGCCTTTTCAAAACTAGCGCAGTGAGTGCAGGCGGGCTAAACAAGATTTCTTGGAGAAATTCGCTCAAAAACCTCTGGTTTCCCCCAGTTATTTTTTCTCAAGTTTTCAGGAAAGTTGCTTTGTTAAGCCGGCCTACAACTTAAAATGCGTAACGTGCTGGATTTTTATAATAGCCAACGTTTAGAGATTTCCGTTCAAAAACGATGGCAGGCGGGGTTAACACTAGAACTAGCGGAGGGGTCAAAATAACCCTTTTGATTTTGAATTCCCGGGTGGAAGGATCCTCACTTACTCTCTAGGATGTTTCTGTGTTTTAAATGTACCAATAACAGTAGTTAAACATGTGAAAAAGGAGAGAGTAAAGTGTGTTTAAACCAGAATTAAACTGAAGAATTTTGCAGTATTAGTGATGTCTAAGTATAGAATTTACTACTTTTAGTACGGAAAAACTATAGAAAAACTACTGATTTTTCGGACTACTATAGTTTATCTACAGTTTATTTCTAGTTTTATCTGACGAAACGCTGTAGTAGCAAATATTTAAAAAGTATAGTGTTAAAAATGTTGTTCAATTTTTTTTTTCTTTTGAACTTTTTTTTTATTTACCTGATTAGCTTCTTACCATGTATTATATTTCATATTAGTTATTACACTTTACCTTACGAACGTTGAAGTTGAAGCCCGGACGCTGACTGGAGTTGAACCTCGGACTTTGGAGCTGGGATCCCGACACGCTGACCACTGAGCCACTGCGACGCCATAGCTCTGATGCCTCAGTATCGTGGTGTCATGCCGAGGGTCTCAGCCCGCCCAGCTACAGGTCCAACTACAGTTTAACTACAGTTTCTTTGTCATTCAACTGTAGCAACTACTGGGTTCCGTAGTTTTGCGCGTATTTTCCCCTTGTTCCATCCATCTCATGAATAACTAAACTTTGTAATGATAAATGAAGTATGTGCAACTGGCGTGCGCGTGCAAGTGCTCAACACAAGGTTGTGCACTCTTAAGTGTTCGACTGCATATTTGAATACTAAAAGTGTTTAACATTAAAGTTAAACACTTTCGCTTTGGATACGTTAAAATGTTCAAATTTTCTGTTGAATACTTCTTGGAAGTTTACAAATTCCCAGTCAAACACCTAATACCTTGCACCATGTTGAACACTACCCGAGACACTACCAAGTATGCCAGTTGCACACTTTTGTTTTCAGAAAGAACCTGGATCCTTAACAGTAGATTTTTCAACGTATAACGGAACCCACACAACGCTAAAGTAATCTAATGTGAAAATAACAAGTAAATTCACCAAATTTTAGTCTAGCATTATAAAGTTCTCACCTATACTTCTCGTGTTCATATATGTTAATGTAATCAACAATTTCAACTGTGAGTAGTACCTTAGGCGAGGGGTGGATAACTCCCCTGCCAAGTGTACACCCCTAATTCTGCCCAATTCAAACAAATTCAGACCAATTAAATTCAATTCAAACAAATTCAAAACTAATTCAACTAATTCAGTCCAATTCAAGACAATGTTCAGTCAATTCAAGTCAATTCAAGCCAATTCACGCTAATTCAGTAACATAAAATCGCAATAATTCAAACTAATTCAAAACCAATTCAACCACTTCAGTCCAATTCAAATTCAATTCAAGCCAATTCAAGCTAATTCAAATTCAATTCTTGGAATTTGTACAACCAATTCAGGAGTTATCCACCCCTCGACCTTAGGTCTTAACATAAGTACACTTAGCAGTGGAAAGTATAGCTACACTGTAAAAATAGTAACACACTGACAGCGCAGAATTACTCGTCCCGATATCTCTGTTTAGAATGTTATTCCAGCGTATTAAGGTAGGACCCTAGTGAAAAAGTGAAAATCGGCCCAG